CGAATGCAGGGGCCTTAATAATCAGAATGGGCTTTGGGTGTATAATATACTATAATTATTGTTACAGAACCCCCAAAATAGGGCCTTAATAATTGGAATAGGGTTTGGATGTATATAATACTTATGTGTCTCATGTAGGGGCCTCAACAATCTCCGATTCGGATTCCATCTATTAAGGATCCCTTAAAGGAACCCCTAAAGGAAACCCTTAAAGGATCCCTTAAAGGAACCCCGAAAGGAAACCCTGAAAGGATCCCTCAAAGAAACCCCTAAAGGACCCGTCGAACGAACCCTTACAGGAACCCGTAGCGGCCGCAAAGCCACGGTGGGATAGGCGGTGGCCGGCACTGCTGACGGGGCAAGGCGCAAGAGGGAGGCCACATCCTGAGGTCAAGGAGTAAAGGGCTCTAGGGTTTAGGACTTCTGGATTTAGGGTTTAGGGTTTAAAGTTTAGGGAATTTAGGGTTTAGGGTTTAGGGACTTTAGGGTTTAGGGTTTAGGGACTTGGGGAATTTCGGGCTTGGGGTTCAGGACGTTTGGAAGTTAGGGTTGTGGGGTTTGGCATTTTTGGCTCTAGGGTAAACAGAGCTCGAGTCCAACCAAAAGCCCTCCACCCAAGCACTTCGGAAGTCGGGCCGGGGGTGCGGACCCTAAACCCTACCTGGACCCTAAGAACCTCCCCTGTCTAGGGGTCCTTATTATGATTTCCAAAAATTATCCCTTTTTAGGGTTCCTTATTATGATTTCTAAAGGACCTCCCGTTTCAGGGTTCCTTAATTCTGACTTCCTTATAGAAGTCATGGAAAGAGGTAGGTTCTTTGGGGTCTAAGTAAGGCCTAAGGGTTTACCTGTAGCATCCGGTTCCAGGCTTGGGGTGCTTGCAAGACCCGGTGCAACTTGCTAGGTGCGTTACCGCCAGGGTGGCAAAGGACGGAACTTCGGGGCTTTCTGGCGACCACTCTTCTCCAACTGGTAGTCCTCAAACATCCCTAAACCCTAAACCCTAAACCCTTGCATGATCGACGTCTTCGAACAAGCCTCAAGAGCTATGTTGGGCGGGATGCTTGGGGGATGGGAGACTTCTTGACCTCTAAACCCTAAGCCCTCAACACTCGTGTAACTAAACCGCTCACCTAAGTCTCTTCAATGGAGGGGTCTAGGGTTAGGGTTTAGGGTTTAGGGTTTAGGGTTTAGGGTTTAGGGTTTAGGGTCTCGCTCATTTCTCATAGAAGTTTTGGTGTCGACTATAGCAGAAGGGGATCTCACTAAGCTTCATTGAGGGTTCGGGCTCGACTTTTGTAGAAATCTGACCAAGAGCTGTGAGTTGCTGATAGACAGTCATCAGATACTCAGTGTGACTTTCCAAAATAGAGACCGCTCACAAAATGGGTGCAGAATAGTGTTTTGCGATTGGGGCTGCCAAAACCCTAAGGGTCCAAGTACCCGATAATCATATACTCTCCCTAATATTAAGCTAGAAAACTACTATCCGCAACCAAAGTACCTTATTATTGGGTGCTTTGGACCCTTAGGGAAAGATCAATGGGACCAAGACGCAGAGGTGGAAAGCGTGGAGCTACCCGACCTCAGAGCATTCGATCGGGGCCTTAATGATCAAAGAATTTTGAGTGTATTGTAAGCGAATTATACAGGGACTACATGGTGATAATCTTTATCTTGCTGCAGTCTGGAAGGTTTAGGGTTCAGGGTCTGGGGTTTAGGGTTCAGGGTTTAGGGTTCAGAGTTTAGGGTTTAGGGTTTAGGGTTTAGGGTCTGGGGTTTAGCGTCTAGGGTTTAAGGGTTAAGGTTTAGGGTCTGGGGTTTAGGGTTTAGGGTTTCGGGTTTAGGTTTAGGGTCTGGGCTTTAGGGTTTAGGGTCTGGGGTTTAGGGTTAGGGTTCAGGGTTTAGGATTCAGAGTTTAGGGTTTAGGTTCAGGGTTTGGGCTTCAGGGTCTGGGGTTTAGGGCTTAGTTGGAAACCGTGTTGCTTCACAGAGGCTGGCTCTCTAGAGCTCTTGAATAAGAGCCTTAATAACTAAACTTGGGCTTTGGTGTAGAATCTCGTAGGGGTTTAGGGTTTAGGGTTCTAACTTGGTGTGGAATGGGTTGATTAGCTTGTCCCTCGGGCGATTATTACAATCCCCATGACCAGTATCACATCATTCAATCCGAAACCATTCCCATAATAAAGGTAATTTAGAAAACCACCCATATGCAAAATAAGGCATTTGACTATCGCGGTCAAAGTACCCGTCAATCTCCAATCCATATTGACTCCTAAACCCCTGACATCAAAACCCCATACGCTCGAATGATTGCCAAGTGGCCACCCCGCATCTGCCTGGGCACGTGGGCAAACGCTCTTTCAACCCTCCTAAACCCCAAATGCCCCCAATCCCGAAGCCTAAAGCTAGCAAACGTCTTCCCGCTGCATCTTTTCACTGGCCGAGCGCCCAAACGAAACTCCCAACGCAATATTGGGCACAGGGTCTTCCGGGTCTAGAGTTATAAGGTCTAGGATTTTCGGGGCTCAGACACCTCCTGGTTTCGGGCTCTGGGCTGTAGGGGCTTTGGGTTTAGGCTTCAGGGTTTAGGGTTTAGCGCTCTGGGCTTCAGCGGTTTAGGGTTTAGGGCTCTGGGCTTCAGCGGTTTAGGGTTCAGGTTTAAGGCTTAGGGTTTATGGAAAAGGCCTCTGGGCTTTAGGGTTCCTGGGTGCAGTCAGGTAGCGGCTTCCGACGAAGTCATTGCCTCCGCAGCTTGAGCAAAATCACCATGCACATCTAACCCTATCGTAGCGATGTCAGATAGGAAATCCTGACCCAAACTCTGAACCACACATCAAGATCTATATCCGAACTCTGACCAGTTCTATATCCTGAGCCCCAAGCAATCTTGCTATGAAAGGACAACACTTTGGAAGTCTTTCTTGGCTCATGGCCAACACCTCAAGTTTAGGTTTAGGGTCTAGGGTTTAGGGTTTAGGGTTTAAGGAATCAAAGTTGAGGGCGTGGCATTTTCTGAAGTTCAGCGTCTAGGGCTTAGGTTTCAGGGCCTACACAACCTACTAACTACTAACTACTAGTAACTAGTGACTAATGGTATCCCACTAAAGCCTGTAAACCCTGTAAGTACAGCTCGAACGACGACGACGACTCCTACTGCTACCACCAATAATAACAAGCAGCACGAACAGCACCAATACTTCTGGTACTGATGATAAAAACAATGATAACAGTAGCAACAAGGGAAGGAAGAACAGAAGGAATAACAAAAACACACACACGCACGCGCGCGTGCGCGCGCACGCGCGCACACACACACACACACACAAACCCTAGGGAAGGGGAAACCCGATCATAGGACAGAACGAGGGGGCCTACCTGGCTTCCCTCTCTGGAAACCCTAACCCCCTCCTCAAAACAAAAAAGCCCTAAACCCTAAACCCTAAACCCTAAACCCTAAACCCTAAACCCTAAACCCTAAACCGTACCGAGGCGCCCAAGGGTTCTTGGAGGCCACGACCCAGAGGAAGCCGCCGTAGCCAGGCAAGGACAGCAGCCCCTCCTGAACCTGAGGCTTGGGGACTTCCTCCCCGTCAAATTTGAGGTAGAGGTTCAGAGTTTAGGGTTTAGGGTTCAGGGTTTAGGGTTCAAGGTTTAAGGTTTAGGGTTTAGGGTTCAGGATTTAGGGTTTAGGGTTCAGGGTTCAGGGTTTAGGGTTTAGGGTTGGGATAGAAAGGTGTACGGCTCAGAGCCTGTTTTGGGCGGGAAGTCTTAACTTTTAGGGTTCAAGCTGCAATAAGCTTTGAGCTGAGGGCTAGGGTTCCGGTGCTTGCCCAGGGCTTCGGGCTCAGAGCAAAAACATACCTTAAGAACCCAAAACCTACTTTTTGGCAGGGTCCCTATAAATCCCATATTGGGGTTGATAATGAGAACCTACAAAAAAGTGGGTTTTGGGTTCTGAAGGTAGAGCAGGAGATCCCCTTAAAGTCCCAAGCCTTCACGAGTAAAGATCTGCAAGCCCCGCAAGGGCTTGCAAAGGCTTTCAGGGGCTGCATATAGTGCCTTTGGACGTGCAAACATGCCTGTAACCTCAGCCCAAAACCCTAAACGAAAAGTCGAAACCCTCGACCCAACCCTTGACTAAACACCCTGAATCCTATAACCCAAACCTTGATGTTGACAAAGAGGCTAACTACATCCCACAAGGTTTGAAGAGGCGTTGGATCCCTGAATGTTGCTTCGGCGATAAACGTGCTTTACGGGTTTAGGGTTTAGGGTTTGTGCTACTCCCTAAACCCTAAACCCTAAACCCTAAACCCTACACCCTAAACCCTTTCCCCTAAACCCTAAACCCTAAACCCTAAACCCTAAACCAACTTGGCCTTCGATTCCCCCTCTTTGGGATCTAAGGGCCCCTAAAACCTCTCGGGGAGCACTCCTGGGCTCCTAAAGGACCCCGTGAACGACAGGAACCCTTACTTAAAGGGTCCGGGTTTAGGGTTAAGGGTTTAGGGTTTAGGGTTTAGGGTTTAGGGTTTAGGGTTTAGGGTTGACTTTCGACAGGAGCTAGAAAAGCGGCACCTTAAACCCCAAACCCCTGGAGTTTAGGGTTTAGCTCAAAAGCTCCTGCAGCCAAGCTGCACATTTCCCAGCAAGGATCACGATTTCTGGACTGGCGCCTTGGCTTAGGTCTTTTTAGCGTGCTGCAATGCAGAGCTTAGGGCTTAGGGCTTAGGGTTTAGGGTTTAGGGTTTAGGGTTTAGGGTTTAGGGTGGATCCTCGGCGTCAGTCTTAAGGTGTACTGTAATGTAGGAGGCTTAATAGTTAGAATAGGGCTTGGAGGGTTTTTATTATACTATACTCATAATAAGAAACCGGAAGGAATAACATCGGCACCATCTGTTTAGACGCCTATATTGGTGGTTTAGGGTTTGGGGGTGCAGGGTTTAGTGTTGCTTAAGTCTTACGATATGAGGGCTTGCCATTCCATGGCAGCCTGGACCGATGCACAAACAGTGCTGTTCAGTGTCATCCTTGACGTCAGTTGTAGTTACAGGATATGCATCTTGCACACATGTCAGTTCTACCTGCTATAGGTTTATAGACCATAAACCCTGACACAAAACCCCGAAACCCAAAACACTCGAACCCGACGCCCTAAACCCTAAACCCTAAACCCAAAACACTCAAACCCGACGACCTTTCCCGCCGTTGCTGCTGTTTTGTCGAGCTGCTCGTTGGCAAGGCGTTCCAGTACTCCACAAAGGCCAGGCACTGCCTTCATCCCCACGGGCTTTGAGGCTTTAGGGTTTAGGGTTTAGGGTTTAGGGTCTTTGGAGATTGGGGGTTGGGGACAACCCCTAAGCCCACGAAGCCCTAAACCCTGAATCCCAAACCCTAAACCCTAAAACCTATAACCTGTACCCTAAACCCTAAACCCCCTAGGGTCTGTAACAGTAGGCGTGGCCAACGGGTTTGGGGTTTAGGGTTTAGGAGGATGTAATCTTTGGGGGAAGGGAAAAAGTTTGGGGAGGGGTGTCAAGGGTTTAGGGCTTAGGGCACACGCTTAGGAAAGGTAGCGCTTGTCGCGCTCGAGATGCTACTAACCATCAACGGGGGCTTCAGAAACAAGAAAACTCCTAAACCCCAAACCCTTGTAACCCAAATTATGACTTGCTTGCTAATTAAATTCCTGATTCTTCAAGTACATGAGGAGACTGGCTTTTGAGCCTTGAGCCACTTGGAACTTGGAGCACTACAAACACCACAGCCCTTCTGAGAGTCTGCCCCCCCTCAACCATAAACCCTTAGGGTTTAGGGCTCAGGGTTCCCTGAACCCTTAGGGTTTAGGGTTTAGGGCTTTAGGGCGTAACCCCAAACCCTAAACCCTTCCACGCCCTAGGTTTCTATTCAGGAGCCCGGTCCTAGTACTTCCCCCCCTAAACTGTCCAGGGGGGGCAGGAGGTCGCTTTAGGGATTCGAGCTGTGTTGGGAGTTAGGATTAGGGGGACCCTTGGGGATATAGGGCCTCTCAATAAGGTCCCTTTATTAAGAGAGCCAGAAGTAGTGTTAAGAAGGGTCCCCTTTAAGGGGGTCTCCCTAGTACTACCCAGGACCACACCCTAAACCCGAAACCCTAAACCCTAAACCCTAATACTCCTAGACTAAACCAACCCCACTTGTAAGAGAGCCAGAAGCAGTCCCCTTTAAGGGGGTCTCCTTAATACTACCTAGGATCTGTCTCTGCCACTTTGGGCCGCTATGAACAAATCCAGAACCCACCGAGATGCTCGAAGTCCTGCGCGCAGAAGATCCTTAGAGGATGGAGACCCTCAAACCCTAAACCCTACACCCCAACCCCTACACCCTAAACTCTGCAACCCTAAACCCTAAAGCCTAAACCCTAAACCCTAAACCCAACACTGATAGCTAACTTTACTCCGGTAATACCTAAACGCCTAAACCCTAAAGCCCTAAACCCCAAACTCCTACAACCCCATGCTCGAAAACACCGAGAACGGCAACTCCCCCATAAAAAAAGCATTTAGGGTTTATATAGGGTCCCGAAAACCACACAAATTCACGGTTTGTTAGTTTGGGTTGAAGGGTTTACGGGGTATGACTTCAGATTCCTTAGCCCCTCACCTCCTCGCCCTGAGACCCCTACCACTCCTACTACTCCTGCTGCTTCTGATCTTACTGCTACACCTCCACTTCTACTGCTGGTCCTTAGACCACAAAACCCTACATTCGAAAAGCCGGGAACGAAGTGTCCCTGAAAGACCCGCCCCAACCCAAAACCCTGAACCCTAAACCCTAAACCCCAAACCCTAAACCCGAAGCCCTAAACCCTAAAACTCTAAACCCTAAACCCTAAACCCTCAACCCTTTCATCCTGATACTCGCAGAAAAGCCCCTTACACCGCAAATCAAACAACCTCTCTTCCAGCCTTATCGTATAAAACTTACAAGCCTTATACAAAGCGATATGTAGTGTAAACCTTACACCAAATTAAATCTGTGAGCGGTAGGAACCAGTCGGCTGTTAGGGTTTACGCGAGTTGACCTCATTTTCAATCCCGATCAAAGCCCATTCAAAACCCCGAAAGCAAGGCCACGTCCGACTCACCCTAAACCCTAAACCCTAAACCCTAAACCCTAAACCCTAAACTCTAAACCCTAAACCCCAATCACAGAAGCCCCCAGCCCTGAACCGACACTAAACGCCTCAACCCACAGCGCACACCATACACGTTTTTCAAGGCATTTTGCAAAATTGCCCGATAACCCTAAACCCTAAACCCTAAACCCTAAACCCTAAACCCTAAACCCTAGACTTGCCCTACTACACCCAACCATGCAGAAACCCCGGAACCCTAGAACCTAGGCCCTCAACCCCAAACCCTAAAACCCCCAAACCCAACCAGGGTTTAGGGTTTAGGGTTTAGGGTCCAGGGTTTAGGGTTTAGGGTTTAGGGTTTAGGGTTTAGGGTTTAGGGTTTAGGCCCCTCAGCCCCAAAAGAAAAACAACCTAAGCACACCCGAGTCTCATTGCATCCGTGGCCGGCACGGCGTCTGCGGTTGGAGCCGCGGCCGTGAGGTCGACCGTCCAGTTCAGGAACCTTCTTTGCGGGAGCTTAGGGATTAGGGCTGAGGGTTTCAGGGCTTAGGGGTTTGGGATTCGTGGGGGTTAGGTTTTGGGGTTTCGGTGATTTAGGGCTTAGGGGTTGTGGTGGGATTTACAGTTCCGGTTTACGGGACCTTCAAGAATTTCATGCTTTCAACAGACGGGGCCTATTCCTTCACCTATGCATTCATCCCACCTTGGCAGCCCCTTCATAGAGCTCCAAAGGTTGGGAACGTCAATGGAACACCCCAATTAAAGCCTTAAGCCCTAGGCCCAACGAGCCCTACCCCAACCCCTATAGACCCGAAATCCCAACGAACCCTAACCCTTAGACCCTAAACCCTAAACCCTTAACCCTAAACCCTAAACCCTAAACCCTAAACCATAACCCTAAACCCTAAACCCTAAACCTAACCGTTTGAGTTACATCCCAGGAGCGTCATGCCGTACTGCGCTGCCAGGAGCGGAACCGCTCCGCAAATCTCGACGGACACCTGCAGGTGCTGCAGAAGGGGGAACACGGCTCAGGGTTGCTCTGGGTTGCTCAGGGTTTAGGGTTTAGGGTTGTTTACCGGTACTATACCTATAGTCTCCATTGTAGATCCCTGTTTTGGTTAACCAAATCTATACTCTAGAACTACAATCGAAACTATAGGTAATGTCTGTAGAGGGAACTCATACGGCTTTACACGGTTTTTGATGATGGTTGTATCAGGGTGCCGTACGGGCTCTTCCGGGCGGCCATAAAAAGAAATTACAGTTTTGGGGGCATTTCTATGGCAGAGTAGAAACTCATAATTGAATTATGATTTAGGGGGACCCCCCTGAATGGGTTTGGCAAATGGAGTTTGCTAGC